GTAATACAGGAAGGAAGGTTGCCACCTTGTACGGGTTTGTCTGTAATGAGGGATCAAGAGCGAGGTTTGGAGTGATAGGACGGATTCTTTAACGAAATGGTACTTGATTGGCAAGGGGAGGGAAAGGGGCTAAGGACTCTTGGCTTCGAGTGATTACGCCTGTTTGGGGCTTGGTTGTGGCGTGCAGTCGAACTGGTGATCCCTTTTCCTTGGCTTTGTTTGATTCTAAGATTTTCGTTTGATCTTCTCTTCCCGTGTCGAAGTCCCCTTCGTCTCTATGGCTTCCAGGGGAATTCTCGTGATGGTTTCCGTGCACGTTCCCCTCGGATGTCCAGAAGTCTGGACCCAGCACGTTTCCCTAGGTCTTGACTCCTAATCCTTGCCAAGGGTTCTTAAGGGTAAGGGGGTTTCGGGTTAGTCTTTCTTGTCCTATTGGGTTTCATCCCTTCCTTGGTGGATGAAATTCTTAGCAAGGCTTTATGTCCTCCTTGAGGTTCGGCCTGTTGCACCTATTTGACGATGTTTTCTGTAGCGAGGGCCCCTGACACATTGAACGTATTTGTTTGCCCGCTCTTGTCAACGCATGGCGTTCTTCGGTGGCGTACGTACAGGCTATGGTTTCTCGTGAAGCCTTCACGGTTTTCGTGTAAGGGTGGGGTGATACGTATTCGTAACCTCCACCTACTTCGCCGATTCCTATCTAACAACTTATTTTAATATTGAATGAATGAATGTCGGTTCTTCACGCCCCTGGGCAGGGTAAGGGCCTTATGCTGCTCTACGGTTTTTAACAGGGTTTCCAAACGGAGTGGGGATACGAACTTAGAGTAAGGGCAATAACAATTTAGGGTTTCCGAGGGTTTGGGTTAAGCGCAACAAAGGGTGAGCAAGGTCATGACGGTTGCGAATTTGCTCTTAAGGTAATTAAGGATTCGGGTGGGAGTTTTCAACAAATAGGGGTACCAAGATGCTGGGGTTTCAGGGCGGATGATATTTTAAATTGGGGTGGTGGGGTCGCAAGGTGTCGCGATATATTTACCTTGCACCCAAGGATTCGACTAATGGTGTCGTTCCTTCGCTACTTTAATAGGTGTCCTAGTTCTCCTTCCTGTTTGTTGTAGCCGCGACCCGGGTTTGCCGAGATAAGGCAACTTGTCGGAAGGTGCATGTCATTTGTCTGACTCGGGGGTTATCGTGGTTACCCTGGGTTGGTGCGTATTGCAGTCCGTCCCTTTTAGCAGTCCTGACTGTAACGCCTCTGCTTAGTAGTCATCCAAATCTTCCTTTTCTTTGGTCAGGGTCCTTGTCAAGTCTTTTGACGGGAGTTAGGACGAGGCGATTTATCGGGTAAGTGTACGTTACCCAGTTGTGGAAGTAAACTTATCTATTCGCACCCTTACCTGGTGTGGTAAGCGTAGGGGGAGGTTCCTTTAAGTTAGAGAGGGATGAAGTGAGGGGAGGTTATGTGTAGGTTTCACAATCTCACTGCGCGTCCTAAGATTCCTGGATCCTATGTTCCTAAGTACCTAGAGTTCAAGCCTAGTGTCCTAAAGTCCGGTCTTAAGAGTCTTATCCTAGGGTCAAACTAAAGCTCTGATACCAACTGTAACACCCCAGATTTTCAAGACATTTAAAACTTATAATAAAGGTAGAATCTTATTAAATCCCAAGATATAAATACAAGCGTTCGGGGTGCTATGCCACACCTGGGCTAGAGAACCCAAGTGCACAGGCTAACTAACTAATATCCTCAAAGCGTAAATATGTAAACGTGGCACGCAGGCCAAAAGGGAAACTATCTACTTCTAAGTTCTAGCGCACTCCAGTGACTTAATCTTCTGTGCCTGAAAGCCAAATATATCTGTTCAGCGAGAGATGCTGGTAACCCACTCCAACGCGTTGAAATACAATACATATAGAGATATATATAGATATACGAAAACCATTTTGAGCATGAAGATATATCCTACGAACTCTAGCTTTAAAACCGGGAATGACTCGACAGATAAGGCCAGACACAAGCAACAGTTATAACGAGCATATGCAGTTCACAACAGATAAGGCAGATAAGGCAAAGCATAAACAATGATCATAACCCAACATGAACAATCCCCAATATAAATCCCATAGTCACATCCCCCAAGACACTCGTAATCACAACTCGTCCATGTCACAACACATAACACACTTTGTTGGCGCCATAGGACCAATCGCATGCCCATACATGAGGGTCAGCGCATATAGCTCTGACACGGCCCTGCAGCACCCTGCCCCGTATCGCAACACGGAGGGGTCGATCGCAACCGACCGATGAACCGCAGCTCATCATAGTGTTTGATCGCAACCAAACAGTGGACCGCAGCCCAAGAGAATGTCATCTGACCGCAGCCAGGAAAAAGGACGAACCGCAGCTCGTATAGAAACGTTTGATCGCAACCAAACGGTGGACCGCAGCCTAAGAGTATCAATCTGACCGCAGCCAGCTTCTGAACCGCAGCTCAGGATAACCAATCCGATCGCAACCGAATTGGGGTAACACACACACATAACACATAGCAAGCACATGCAACCCATATTACACATTGGGAAGGGGGAGAAAGCGCATAACAAAACCTATGCGTGATCCATCACATACTAAGAATGGTCCTAAGGGGTTCATACTCCTTCCACATAGGTTAACGGGATACCAATTCAACTAGCATGCAATATAATAGACTCATAAACCACCTACGAACGGTACCCGAAACATCAAACTAGACATAGGCACGATAAACGGAGCCAAACAGGTGGTGTTATAGGTGGTGCTATGAAGTTCGTAGTTTCTACAATAGGTGGTGTTATAAACATCCCTTATGGAGCTTGATAATCCTATATATAAAAAAGCCAAACAGATTTGGCTGTGTAAATTCCCGCTCAAGTTTTAGAGGTATTTTGCCTTTTTTGATTTTTTTAATTAAAAATTATTACCTTTAAGGTAAACATTTGATTTGACAATACATGTCTGACAAATATATTTAATTACTCCTTGAATTACTCTTCACTTGAATTACTCTTCACTTGAATTACTATTCACTTGAATTACTATTCACTTGAATTACTATTCACTGACAAATATATACATTGGTTGAGAAGTACAGCAGATACATTGGTTTTCCAAACTTGCGTACAACAGAAGCAAGCAAGCATGGTGTTCAAGAAGTACTGATTTTGAAACTAAATTTTGGTGAAAAAACTACCTATAAATAGTCCATATTGCATACATGGTTAAACCCCACATCCACATTTGCAGTGGGGCTGCTCTGCTCTATCTCAATGAAGCTGTTCAAAAAACAATGGTGATATTTTCCTTTTAAACGATGCTCTGTCTCATGAAGAATTGAATTAATTGTATAGGCTTCCTCCATTTTGTATAGGCTTTACCCTCCTTTTGACACATGCATTTGCAAACTGTAGGAAACCATTTTTCAGGGGTTTCAACGCATACCAAGCAACCTGCTTTAAAACCTTTTTATGGGATTTGAACAACATACAGTAACCTGTTTCTCAATGCCATTGATACCTGAAATCATCAGGGTAAAGTATGATCATAATAGTAGAAAAACTGATGATATATTCCAGATATAGTGACTTATATTATATCTTGAATATCTTTTGTTTAGTTACAGAGTATTATTTTTCTTCTGTATTAAATACTATAGAAACTTATTATTTTAATAATGTGTATAGATAGATTTTGGTGTGTTGGTATGTAATGTGTATATAACAATATTGTGGGGTATATATAAATTCGTGTACATATTCTAATCAATGGAAAATTGGTTCACTGTACTTTGAATACATATATCTCATCGACAAGTATTTATCAAACAGAAAAAAAATAACATACAGTTGTAAAATGAACATATATTCGACAAGATTTTTTCCGTTTCAATAATTTTTCTGATGCAGACTGTGAAATTTGCATGTTAAAAAAAAAAACAAAAAATTTTAGTAGAAAATAAAATAAACCAACTATAAATTAATAACATTAAAAGATTGAACCAAAAGGAATTATAAAAAATTCGAAAAAAAATCGGTAAAATTTGGGAAAAAATGGGAAAAAAAATTTTATTGAAAAAAAAAATTATCAAACCGGAAAAATAAAAAAATATAACATGCACAGTATAATCGAAAATTTTCTCTCAAGGACTTGAAGGATTTGCATGTTCGAAAAGAAAAACAAAAAAATTGAACATAAGGAATTTCAGATTTACCTATTTGTTTAGATTCGATTTGTTTCCCTGCATTTGTTCATGTTTCCAGATATAGTCGCATAATGAAGGAGGGAGGCTTAAGGGCGGCGAGCCGAAGACGACGTCGAGATGGAGTAACAGAGAGGTTTGATGGAGTAACAGAGAGGTTTCGAAACTGAGAGACACAGACGGTGAGAGGTTCATAGACGGAAAGAGAAAGCAATCGAGGGTTAACATCTGAGGATGAATCTGGAATTTCCTTCGAGGAGTTATGGTTTCTAGAATAATAGAGAGAGGGCAGATGGGATGGGGGCGAAGAGATTAGGTTTAGTGTTTATATGGTCGGATCTTGGGCCGGGTCTAGGTTCCAATATTGGGTTTGGGTTTTGGGTTGTGTATTGGGTTATATATTAGAACTGATAGGAATGGATTGGGCTGCTATTTTTATAAAAGACACGTATTTTGTATATTTTGTATTAATATTTTATTTTGTTTTAATTTTTTCTTTAAAAAAATAATTTTTAAGAATTATATTTTGAAAGATTAATTTATGTTATTAGAATTTAATAACAAAAATGTAATTGAATTGTGTTACATTTTCTATCTACAATATATTTATTGAAAAAATTAATTTACATTTATTTGTATTATGTTAGAATAGTTTTTTTTTTTTTTGAAAGCCAAGTAACTTGGTATATTAATGAATGAACATAGTAATAGAGTCTGGAGGGATTACATCCCAGTACATAGGATGGTCCTGATCGAAAGCTAACGAGCTAGTGTATGAGCATGCATATTAACAGCTCTGGAAATATAATGTAAAGAACAAGAAGTAAATAATGACATAGTTGTCCTGCACTGGTCCACAATGACCCCAACATAAGATCGAGTTCCGGTACCTCTTGATGTTACCATGTTTCGCAACTCCATACAATCTGTGAGTAGATCAACCATCTGTGTATCGCACCCCTTAAGCCATGATAGAGCTTCCTTGCAGGCTAGAGCTTCTGCCATAATAGGTGAAAAAGCACCCGGTAACGTTCCTGCCGTGGCCGCCATAAAGACTCCTTCGTGATTGAGTAGCACAACTCCGTATGTCGCTTCTCCCGTGTGTTGTCTGTAGCCCGCGTCGAAGTAACACCTGGGCCGGTCGTGTGGGTCGCTCTCCGGCAACACGGTGGCATGAGGCTGGTAACTCGCACGTCCCAGCCTGGTGAAGGCTTCCTCGGCCATCACCGCCCTCCTCACCGTGGATGTGGGCCGTGGCAAGCTTCTTTCCCATAATGCCGAGTTCCTTGCTAGCCACAAATAATATAGAATCCCAACAGCCAGCCGTACCTGCCCTTCCGTCAACGAGTCCAGCACGCCTATGAACCATGATTGGAAATGATTAGTCAGAATATTTGTGACAGGTAATCCCGAAATATTCCAAACCATTTTAGAGTAATCACATAAAATCAGTGCATGCATAATATTCTCATGTGTAGTGCCACACATGAGGCATATAGGATCCACCTCCACTCGTTTAATAATTAAATTATCAGTGGTGGGTAGTATGCCAGACACAACCCTCCATAGAAAGATTTTCCATTTGGGTGGTACTCGTAATTTCCACAATGTAACCCATTTATAAGTCCCTGGGTTGTCAGAATAATCTCCCATAATTCGCCTATAGGCATTCTTCACCGTGTATACTCCTTGTGTGTCCCCCATCCAATACCATGTGTCATCATAATCTGGGCTTACCGGTATTCTTGAGATTCGGGTCACATCCTCAGGAATAAATAAATCATTGAGAATATGTGGATCCCAGGTACCTGTATCTTAATCTATCAGGCCACTCACTAATGCCCCTCGTAACTCCTTAGGCATGTGTGTTTGAACCAAAGGGCTAGGATCATCAGATAACCAAGGATGTCCCCATATCAATGTATCCCTACCGTTTCCAATCTTTCTGCGCACCCCGGCGCAGACTAGATCATGGGTGGCCATAATACTACGCCAGCAGTGACTTGGGTTATTCCCTATGGTAGCATCAACAAAAGTGGTCGTAGGATAGTATCGAGCCTTATAAATCCTTGCTACCAAAGTGGTGGGTTCCGTAAGAAATCTCCATGCCTGTTTTCCTAGCATGGCCAGATTAAATGCACGAAGGTCCTTAAAACCTAATCCTCCATATTTTTTAGGGATACATAATTTATCCCAAGCTTTCCAATGTATTCCACGATCTGTACCTGTCCCCCACCAATATTTGTTCATAATACGCTGTATAGACAAACACACTGATTCAGGCAACAAAAAAACACTCATAGAAAAAGTAGGCATAGACTGAGCCACACTTTTTAAGAGCACATCCTTCCCAGCCTGTGAGAGCAATTTTTTGTTCCATGATCCAATTCTCTGCCTGATTTTATCTTCTATATATGCAAATACAGTCCTTTTATTTCTTCCTATAAAGGAAGGAAGCCCAAGATATTTTCCAAAATTGGATGCCAGTTCCACTCCCAAACACCACGCCACCTGCTCTCTATGCGCCATCTGGGTATTTCTGCTAAAACAAATACTTGATTTATTAAAGTTCACCATTTGGCCAGACAATTTCTCATATCTAATTAGGCACTGCTTAATAACAGCTGCTTCCTGAATATTCGCTTTGAAAAACAACAGGCTGTCATCTGCAAAAAACAAGTGTGAGACCGGTGGTGCCCCTCTGGCCACCCTACATCCATGTATAGCCCCATCCATCTGTGCTCTCTGCAATAACATTGAAAGTCCCTCCGCACAAATAATAAATAAGTAGGGAGAAAGAGGATCTCCCTGCCTGAGCCCACGAGTTGGGGTTACACATCCACCCACCTCCCCATTTACCATAATTGAATATCTTACTGTGGTAACACACAACATAATAAGACGAATCCAGTGATCATCAAAACCCATAACAGTCATCATCCTCCTCAAGAAAGGTCATTCCATTCTGTCATAAGCTTTTGACATATCCAGTTTTAGCGCACTCCACCCCGCACGGCCACACTGTTTTCTATGTAAATAGTGCCCCACTTCCGCTGCTACCAAGATATTATCTGTAATTAAACGCCCCGGGATAAAAGCACTCTGGGAGTCTGAGATTATTCCTCCCATCAACGGCTTCATCCTATTTGCAATCATCTTCGCCATTATCCTGTAAACAACATTGCTTAACGCAATTGGCCTCATATCTGCAACTGTCTCAGGTAGTGTTTTCTTAGGGATTAACACTATATTAGTATCATTTAATCCCTCTGGGAAGACACATGAATTTAAAGAATCTGTTATAAAACGTGTAACATCATCCCCCACAACACTCCAGAAATGCTGATAGAATCCCGGATTCATTCCATCCGGGCCCGGTGCCTTATCAGGAAACATTTGATAAACTGCCGCCTTAACCTCATCCGCCTCATAGGGCCGTATCAACAGTGCATTCTGTTCTTGAGTAACTCGGGGACTAAAGTTATCAAACAACGGATCTGAGCAACTAGAATTATCCGAGGTAAAAATATTTGTATAATAATCCAATATTACTGCTTTCATTTTGTCCCCCTCAACCCATGAATCATCATTATCTTTAATACGTACAATGAAATTCTTTTTCCTACGGGCAGAGGCATACCTGTGGTAAAATTTTGTGTTGGCATCTGCTCCCCGGAGCCAGTGTTGCTTCGCCCGTTGCCTCCAAAATATATCTTCCTGGGTCTCTAGCAGATTCAGCTGATCATCAATCTGCCGGAATTCGGCTAATGCCGCCTGGTCCCTCCGATTGCGGATAGCTTCCTGTCTTCGTCGCAGCTGGTCAATACGTTTTCCAAACTTATGAAAACGTTCACCACCCCATCGCATGAGTCTCTCTCCACAATATCGCTGGCACCCAAGCAGTCCCTCAGTTTTCCCATCCTGCCAGGCCGTCTCCACAACCTCCTTACAGCCTTCATCCAAAAGCCAGGCCATCTCGAATCGAAAACCCCTCGGGCTCCCTTTCCTCGGAATGCATGGTGCATTAATGTTGAGGAAAAGAATCGAGTGATCCGAAGCTCTAGTTCGTATATTCTCCAGCCATGCATTACGATTAATATCATTCCAACTCGTCGTTGTCAATACCTTGTCCAGTCTTTCCTCAATCCAATTCTGCGTGCCTTTTCCTTTCTCCCATGTGAACTGATGTCCCCTCATGGGCATTTGGGCCAACCCACACTCATCAATAGCCTCCCCAAAGCCGCGTAGAAGACTATCAGGATACGGGTTACCTCCTCTCTTCTCGTGCTGGAACAAGAGATTATTAAAATCTGCCACCACTACCCACGGCAGTGTGGACCTACCCCTTAATGTGTGCAACAAATTCCATGAATCTCTCTTCTCGTGCCATTTCGGGTAGCCATAAAAACATGTCATTCGCCACCGCTTCCCCTCCACCTGCACTTCCACATCCACGTGGTTTTTAGAATAACTCAATAACTGCGCCGTATTATTCTTTTTCCACAAAAGAGCCATACCACCACTCATTCCGTCGTTATCAACATAAAATAACCCCTCATACCCAAGACTAACACGAACCCGCTCTGCATGTATCCGTGCCACCTTAGTTTCCATTAAGAACAAAAAATCCGGCTTCCTTCGGGACCCCAGGTCCACTATCTGTCGAACTGTTTGTGGATTGCCCAAGCCACAACAGTTCCAGCTCAATGTACTCATGAGAACGGGCGGGGCTGTGCAACAGCTCCCGCCATGGACAAGTTTTTTGAACCCTCTCGCATAACCACATCCTCTCCCTCAAACTCCGTTCCCCGCCCTCCCCTTTCGGCTTGCCTGCGTCTTTTCCCTGTGGCCTCCACCTGCTCCTCGGCCTCCATCCCACCCCGTACGGGTACGGCGCCACTCGGCCGTGTAGCTACCACCCCGGTCACCCCGCTCCCCATCTCTATCGGACGTGGTCTCCCGCTAACCGGCACAAGCCAGTTATCCCCAACCGCTCTAGGAGCGCTCCGGGATCCACCAGCTCGCATATCCGGACCATACGGGTACCGCTCCAAAGGGATTCCAGAGTCTCGCGCCTTAATGCAAAAAGTGTATAGATGTCCCATTAATCCACAGAAAAAACAGAACCTGTGTAGCCGTTCATAGCGAAACGTTACCCAAGCCGTGGTCTTATCCCTCTTCAGCAGCTTCATTCGTCGTCGTAACGGCTTATCCACCGAAATAGAAACCCTAATCCGGTGAAAAGTCAACCACGGGGCCCCTTCGAATCGATCATCATGTTTCACAAAGGTGCCAATGAAATTTCCAGCTTGCTCTAACACCGTCTGAGATGTATATCCTAACGGCATATCGTGTAACTGTACCCACATATCAATTGTGTTCAACGGAACCTCCCCGGGGGGAATATTTGGCGGCACCTCTCTGCAAACCAAGGCGTTATTTTCAAATGCCCAAGGTCCTCCATTCAAAACATAATCCACGTCCGTTCTATGAAAGAAAACGAACAAGAACACACCCCTTTGGATCTCCGTAACCTGAACCCCTCTGACCGGTTGCCAAACGGATGCTAAAACCTGACGCATAAACTCTAGTTTCACCATCTTCTGAGTTAGGAACCTCTCCACAACCTTCCACGTCTCCTCCACATCTGCCTCGGCTTGCCCTACTTCGTCCCCAACCGGCGCAAAAGTCGTGTCCTCCTCCTCCAGCGTCCACTGTGCCCACTGTTCGGTCACCACAGCGACGCCATCTTCTCCGTCGCTCGTCCGCATGTCTGGTTCTGGCTGCACTGTCGCCATCGGAAAGCTCGTCGCGTGAAGCTCGAATGCCGGCAGTCGCCGGAAAGCAAGAAAACGTAGCAAAACCCTAGGAAACCCTAGTATGGAGGCAAAAACCCTAGAGAGAGTCTAGAGAGAAATTTGTTTTTTAAATGGGTATAGTCCATAGCGTTAGAATAGTTTGATTTTATTCAAATTTATTATTCATTGTTAAAATTAAAATTATCATAATACACTTAATTATAATAAAATAATGTTCAAGGATAAGAAACATATAATAAAATATAATTTGAAATCTTTGAAATGAATAATCCACTTCAAATATTGAATGAAATCATCAATATCAATTTTTATTTTAATTGCACATATTTCATAAATTTTCATAGCAAATGAAAATAATAATTAAATAAAAAAATTTTAAAAATAAATAAAATGCTCATATTTCTTTTTTATATGTAAAATTTAATAACATTAATAGTTTCTAATAATATTTTTTTATTACATGTTCAAATTTATATTTTCTAATGCAATTATTTATTTACTAATCTTTTATTTGTGTTTATAATATATTTTTCAGAAATAATAATTATACTCTTATTTTTATACCGTGCATCGCACGGGTAAAATACTAGTAGGAGTAAATGCAATAATACACATACTCATTATCAAATTAAATACAAAAATCCTTTCAAAAAAAATTAAATACAAAAATAAAATAAATATATATTTTTTGCAAAAAACGTAAAACAATTGAAGATGAAAAATTGAACTAGAAATGAAGAAGAATATAGAAAAATTTGGCAAGATAACTGAGAAATGAATGACAGTATAGTACCAAGTTTAATAGAGGATGACGATGATTCTTCCCCTCAAAACCCTCCATAAACCCTCGGAGCTTGCTCGGCGAACTGAGTTACATCCTCTTCT